GGGACCGTGTGCCACAGTGGGGCTCTCCTGTGGGGACCGTGTGCCACGGTGGGGCTCTCCTGTGGGAACTGTACACCATGGTGGGACTCTCCTGTGGAAACCGTGTGCCACGGTGGAACTCTCCTGTGGGAGCCATGTGCCACGGTGTGGCTCTCCTATGGGGACCGTGTGCCATGGTGGGGCTCTCCTGTGGGGACCGTGTGCCACGGTGGGGCTCTCCTGTGGGAACTGTGTGCCATGGTGGGACTCTCCTGTGGGAACTGTGTGCCACGGTGGGGCTCCCCTGTGGGAACTGTGTGCCATGGTGGGGCTTTCCTGTGGGGACTGTCTTCCACATCCTGACAGAGGCACTGCTCATCTGCTGGCCTTCAGCACATGTCACCATTTGCTGGGACGAGTGTAGTTCCCCGGGCTAAGCTTGGTTCCCCTACATGTTCTGGGATGTTGGTGGAGGAGGTCCTACTCCATCTCCCAGGCACACACAGATCCTGAGAGTAGCTGAAACCATCTCCAGATCTGACAGTAGACAGAGTGAAGGATGATGTGCTAATTGCAGCATGTTGGCACCAGTGACATCATTATTGTTCTAGAAACAAAACCCAGGAAAATCGTCCCAGGATCTTTAAATTGAGAATCAAAAAAAGACTTTTGACCTAGCTTGTGTGTCTTATAAGACAAGACCCCACTGCTTCTCTCAGAGTCTCTCTCTTACTTTGTGTGTTTTGTTGTTATGTGTGTGAAGGTTGGTTTGTTTTACATTTGGAGGTCATTTTGTCTATCTTTGTTTTTGAGACAGAAGCTCACTGAGTTGCCCAGGAAGGCCTTGAATTTATAATCCATCTGCCATAGTCTCCTGGGCATCTGAGATTATACACTGCTGCCACCAAGTCAGGCTTTCTCTTATGCCTAAGTTTCTTAGCAACACTGTACTAAACCCTCCAATTATTCTCATATTTGTCAAATGCAAGGTCCATTATAAGGGCCCAGTAGGTATTAGCTTGTGTCTCTGCTGATATTATGCAATAGAAAGGTTTCTGTGCCTTAAATTCCAACTAGCCATCTGCTCCAAGGAAGATATAAACAGTGAAGGTTCTCTGGGTGGTCGCGGGGAAGCCCAGCTGCCCCTTCCTAGAACACAGTTCAGGGAATTCGTGAGCCGAGCTCAGACCTAAAGAATCTAGCTTTGGTCTCTGACACAATCTGACCCTCATGATGTACCTTCATTATCCTGATAAATGTGGCCTGTCTTGATCAGTGTCTTACTACTGTGAAGAGATACCCATGACCATGGCAGCTATTATAAAAGAAAGCATTTAATTGGGGCTGGCTTACAATTTCAGAGATTTAGTCCATTATCATCACAGCGGGAAGCACCAGGCAGGTGTGTTGCTGGAAAAGAAGCTGAGCGCTACATTCTGATCTGCAGGCAGAAAGC